TTCTTTTGCCATGCAGAAACTTTTTAATAAGACGTGATCTCAGTTATTGATTTTAGGAAGTAGTTCTGTTTCGGTTGATTCCTCTTCATGAATTCTTTACCTACTCCTATGTCTTCAAGATTTTTACACAATTTGTTTTCCAATAAATTTAGTGTTTCTGTTTTAATATTCAGATCTTTGATCCATTTAGACATATGGAGAGCCAGTTTTTCCAGCACTATTTATTAAAGAGACTGTTGTTTTTCCAGTGAACATGTTTGGCCCCTTTATCAAAGACAAGGTGGCTGAGTGTGTTGGTAGTTGTGATTGTATTTTCTAGTCTATTCCATTGGTCTTCAGATCTGTTTTTATTCCAGTACCATGTTGATTTTATTACAGTAGCTTTGTAGTATAATTTCAAATCAGGGATTGTGATGCCTCCTTCCTTGCCTTTGCTGTCTAGAATTGCCTTTGCTATTCTGGATCTTGTCTGGTTCCAGATGAATATTAGGAGTGATTTCTCTAGGTCTGTTAGGTGTTTTGATGGTATTTTCATTAGGATTGCATTGAATCTCTATAAAAGTTTTGGAGAGAATGGCCATTTTCACAGTGTTTATTCTCCCTACCCATGAGCAAGGGATGTCTTTCCATTTTCTGAGATATCTTTGATTTCTTTGTTCAGGGTATTATAGTTATCCCTGTATAGATCTTTTACTTCTTTCTTGAGATTAATTCCAAGGTATTTCATATTTTTTAGATGCTGGTGTGAAGGATTTGGCTTCTCTTATTTCTCTCTCTGTAATTTTGTTGTTTGTGTATAGAAATGGTATTGATTTTTGAGCATTGATTTTGTATCCAGCTACATTGCTGAATTTATTTATTATATCTAAGAGTCTTTCAATGGAGTTTTGTGGGTCTTCTTTGTAGAGTAACATGTCACCTGCAAATAATGATAATTTATCTTCCTCTTTTCCTATCTTTACCCCTTTTATTTCTTTCTCTTGTCTAATAGCTCTGGCCAGTTTTTCCAGTACTATGTTGAATAACAGTGGTGATAAGGAAAATCCTTGTCTTGTGCCTGATTTTAAGGTAAAGGCCTTCAGTTTTTGGCTATTTAATATGATGCTGTCTGTTGGTTTGTCATAGATGACCTTTATCATATTGAGGATAAGACCATCTATTCCAGTTTTCTGTAAGGTTCTTATCATAAATGAGTGTTGGACCTTATCAAAAGCTTTTTCTGCATCCATAGAAATGATCATGTGATTCTTACTTTTGACTATTGGTATGGTGGTTTACATTTATTGATTTATGTATGTTGAACCATCCTTGCATGCCTCAGATATTGAATTTTTATTTCCTCATTCCTTGTTATTTTTAAAAGATCTTTCCTTTCCTGTTCATTAGCTGCAGTCTTCTCTTTGAAGTCTGAAAGTCTATCTTCATTTTCATTGAGGTAGTTTTGCCAACTCTTGATGGAATTTTTGATTTCCTGGATATTTCTTTGAATCTGTTTCATATATTATGTTGCTTTCTTATATTGTTCATTCACGGTTTCCATCTTTTTGCAATGTTCCTCAATTTTTTTAACTCTCTTTCTTATATGTGTTCAGCATTTCTTTTATTATGTTTATCATTTCATCTTTTACTTCGGAGATTATTTCTTATCTCAGTTCTTTTACCGCTTCATGGAATTGTTTATGTACTTCAGTTACTATCATTTCAGGTATATGGCTTACATTTTGTTTTATGTCCATGTCTCCTAGGCTTGTTTGGGATGGGCTGGAGGTTTGAAATTGCATTTTGCTCTTTTGTTTTGTCATTTTCCTGTGTTTCCCTGGGGAAGCTGAATGCAGGGTCTCAGTTTTTCCTGGGTTGAGAATTTCTGTTCATAGTGCTGGGAGTTTCCCCAGTTGAGTGAAGGTTTTTAGCCAGGCCTTACCAGGTCCCTAGAGGCACTCTTAGTTTCCTCAAATATGCGGCATACACTGCACATGCTTTGAGCACACCCTTTGTGGTATTCTCAAGCTTCCTGGCTGCTTGAAGTTGTTGGGTTGGACTCCACTAGGTTCTGAGTGGCGTACCAAGGCTGCGTACCTAGATAGAGTATGCTGTGCAGGCCTTTAGCTCATGCCACATGGAACACCAAAGCTCCACTGCTGCTTGGGGTCACTGGGTGGAGTCCTATCAGGCTCTGAGTGATGTGCCGAGGTTGCACACCTGAATGAGTTTTGCTGTGCAGGCTTTTGACTTGTGATATGAAGTGAAGGCTTCTTCCGGCCACTCAGGGTCACTTGGTGGGGACAAACCAGGCCTTGAAGGACCTATCTGAAGGTCCTCTGGTGATTGAAGATGCTGGGCAGGGTCCTACCTGGTTTTGAGTAATGTGCTGAGTTTACACAGTTGGATTGAGATCACTGAGCAGCCTTTTGGTTTGTAGCATGGAGTTGCAGGAGTCTTCCCGACGAGTTGGGGTCACTGGGCTGGGCCAAACTAGGCCCCAAGAGACCTACCCAAAGGTCCTCCAGTGGTTGAAGACACTGGGTGGGGTCCTTCCATGTTCTGAGCCATGTGGGGTGGTTGCACAGCTGGATGGAGGTCACTGTCCAGACTTTCAGCTCACAACATGGAGTACAGGTGGCTCCATAGCCACTCAGGGTTGCTCCTAACAATCAGTATTATCATTCGTATTTATAGGCAAGAAGTGACATTCCATGTGTGCACAACCAGTAAGAGGTACAGCTAGAACTGATGTTCAGAAATCTAAATGTGCTATATAATCAGATATTGCTTGGCCATAGCTTCAGAGTATGGTGCTGGAGGCCCTATGCTCAACCAGGTTTTGACCCTTAGGTTCTATGGAAACTTAGTGGGTCCTAAAAGGAAAGCTGAGCAGCTTATTGCAGCAACCTTTATGCTAACTAGGATAGAAGTATTCTTGTGTTAAAATATTTGCTGGTGAAATCAATGAATATCAATTAAATGTTGGCTCTAAACTGATTTCAGGTAGTTTAGCTCTACTCTCTTTTGTGCACACTGCCTTGTCTATCGATAAGGTAGGTTTCATAGAAAAGATGACTTTTAGCTATATTTTGGAAGGTGTAGGAACTTATGAGAGTAGATGTTTAAGGTACAAGGAACAATAATCGAAAAGCTTAAGGAAGGAGAATGATACGTATTTGATGCAGAGTAAGGCATTTTCTATGGATAAGCAGAGGCTATTTTAACAGAATGCTGAGAGTTAAGATCAGAATGGAAGATTGTGTTCAGATTGTGAGGGATCTTGAGCTCCGTTTACTTCTTCAAGTGTAGAAGGTTGGATGGGGTACTGGGGTTTGAGTCTAAACCTTTATGTATGATAAACAGAAGAGACCAACTTTTTACTAAGGCAGTGAGGTCTTTTTGAACAGGAAAGTGACATGCTCCTTTTTGTCAGTTTTGGAAATAGTACTGATATAGCTGTATAGAATAAATGGTAGATGAAGGAGTCTTAATATGTATGTGAACAGTGAGCAGGCCACTGTTAACAGTCAAGGTGAAGTACTATACTACCACAGTGGCATTGTCTAATGTTACTTAACATGCCCACTCATGTTAGTCCCTGTTCAGGATGCCAGTGACTGACCTTTGTGGCAGTGATTTCCAAACAGTGTTGTGGGGGACTGGCTTTCCTGCAGAAGTGTCTTGGGAGCCATATAAAAATTGATAGGCTTTTTGATTTTATCCCTACCTCCAGGTAAATGTTCGGGGTTTCAGGTAAGATACTTAAAAGAGCTCAGGAAAAATAAGGCAGTTTTAGGAAACTACTAACGTATCAAGAACTCCTTTTCCTTTTTTTACCTATTGAACTTTTACTTGACTTTCAGTACCCATAGCAGATGCGCTCACCTCTATAAAACTTTGTGACTTCAAACCAGTATTCATGTATCTTGCTGCTGTCTTCAGGTAGCCCATGTTCATTTCCATCATGTCACTGACCATAAATTTTATAGTTTCTGTTTGAATGTCTTTCTCCTTCTCTAGATTGGACTCTTGAAGGGCATCTTTGTGTTCCAAGCATTTTACACAGAGCTTAGTAATAATTTTTTTTTCATTTTTATCGGTACCAGGGATCAAACTCACGACTGCCTGCTTGTAAGGCAGGCGCTTATGCCGCTGAGCTAAATCCCCAGTCCTGAGTTTAGTAATAATTAATCCTAGCTAGCATTTTTGGAGGCATGTAGTATGTGCTAGACTTTGTATATATGATTAATATATATTTTTTCAATTGACCTATGATGTAATTATTGTAATGATCCCCATTTGGAAGATTGGGAAACTGAGGCACCATGAAGTTAAATTACTGGCTCCTGGTCACACTCTTAGAATAACTAGAATTTATTTATTTATTTATTGTGTTTTTGAGACAGGATCTTGCTTATGTAGTTCAGACTGGCCATGAACTTGTGATACTCTTGTCGCAGCCACCTGAGTGAGGGGATGATAGGCGTGCATCACCATACCTGGGTTAGAACTAGAATTTGAAACTGAAGCAGTCTGCTTCCAAAAGCTTTGCTCTTAAACATTACTGTGCTGCTTCAGCTACATAATGGACAGTCTTACAGTTCAGTGAGAAAAATGTATGTATTAAATGATAGTCTTTATAGCTACAGATGAGGAATAGCTTTTATTTCCTGTCAGATGCTGAATTGAGATCCAAAGTTTCTTCTGGGATTCCTTTGGCCATTGGCTATGTGCCTAAGAGTGAGTAAATTATAAAATCAATTCTGTTCTTCTAGGACTTTAATGGATTTCAGCTTACATGAACATCTGTGATCAAGGCTAATGTCTCACTGGTACATATAGTTATAGCCATTAGAAAAGATTCTGCTGGGAATCTACTCCAGATATGAGTCTTTAAGATGTCTTGAGTATCTTCCCTTCCTAAACCATAGATGGGAAATTTGGGCTTGGTACAGCAGAGATGGTGGGAGGTGTATGCCTTCTGTGATAGATGTTATAGTTCATGCTTCTTCTTCCAGGCTCCTCTCTTGGAGTATTATAGTGGCTACATGACTTTTGAGCTTCACCCTCTGGTTAGACAGCTGAACATCTTGCTGACTTTCAATTGTTGTGACAGGCTCAAGACTGTGTATACCAAGTATTCTCAAAAGTAAGTACCAAGCCACAGCTGAGTTTGGATCTGTGCTCCTTCTTGGGAATACTTTGAAATGTTATGCTCAGACCACTGTCACTTAAGAGAAATGGTCTTAGATACTTTTTTTCCTTTCTACTTTTGTTGTTAAACCAAGCTAGGAAAACAAGGGCTCTGTGTCACACTTGTTCCACTAGAAGTCTGTTTGGCTTTGGCCTATTTTATACTGAGCTGACCCCTCTTTTTTTGCAGGATATTCTTTGAAGTCACAAAAATTCCCCCCTTGGACATGATGATACTGGATGAGATTTTGACCTGATAATTATGAGGCTGAGGATGTGGCACTTGGACAGCAGTATTAGGACCAGTCAGGCATACCAATAGTCTATATTTATTCTGTGCTTAAAGTTGTCTTTTAGTCACTTTCTTCATTTTTCCCTGTCTGTGTTTTTCCAAAGTTACAATGTTGTATATATTTAAGTATTTAAGTTGTTTTATAAAAGAAAAGTTACTTTATTATATTTGACTAACAATAAAAAATTAATAGTTGTTGTTACAGTGGCTCATCTCCCTTTTTATTGCTGCAGAACCCTATGCATATAACATAAGAAAGAGTAAAGGAGTTAATTCCTATGAAAATGCTGGCCACAGGTGAGTGTTTGACAGAAGGAATCTTAATCTTGGTCAGTTGAATATGATCCATTTTAGCTCCCTCGGCTGAATATTTAGAAGTTGGGTCCAATTCTGATCTGTCTTCATGTCCATCACTCTACATCTGCAGATCTGAGTGCTGTAATGTCATCACAGTGCAAGTGTCAGTGCATTACCCCAGGGAGGGATGAATGAGGGAGTGAGTGAATGAATGGCCTCTGCATGTGCCTCCTAACTCTGCTTGAGGTTGGTGTCCTGTCCGGTGGCTCCTTGGCAGCTTCCATGTCCTCCTCTGCATAACTTGTATTGCAATTGGTAAGTGACCCCTGTAACTGCAGGATTAGGGGACCCAGCTCACACTTCTTCCAGAAATACAGCTGGACAGCGATTGAAGGGAGCATACGTGACTGCAGGACATCACCAGCATCCACTCTCAATATCAGTGCTCCTTAAACTGAAGCAAATCCTAGACTGGATGCTTGAATGTAGCTCTCAGTATTAAAGTGCACATAGATTAGACAGCTGTGTGTTACCTCCATGCAGTCTTATTCACTCCATTTCTAGGGTATCCCATTGTTAATATGAGATTCACCATAGCTTATATGTGGAAGATTCTTTTGTTCTTATCTGGTTTTTAACTGCCCATGTTAAAAGTATGCATAAGAGACTTTTGACAAGATGGACAACTAGGAGCTAGATTCACCCTCTAAATTTAGCGGCTAAAAAAGAAGGGGGAAATTGACACAGGAAATACCTGAGGTTGTCAAACCAAATGGTGGGAGCTCTACCATTGTCCTGGCTTCCTGCCTGGAGAGAGACCCTGGGCCACTGCGCAGAGAGGAATGAAGAAGCCAGAGCCCTGTGACTGCCTGGGAGACAGGGATGGACATGGCGAGCATGGACCAGAAAGTGCAGAGCCTGGTGCTACAAAGAGAGCAGGTCCCTGGCGTGGAAGCTTCAGAGTGTGCAGATCCTTCAGGTCCTGTAGCAGTCTGGTGCCCACATGTGTGTGAGGAGAGTGTGGGCAGCCAGGAAGAGAACCACCCAGAAGACGCAGGAGAAAGAATCTCCAGAGTTAACATGAGGTCAGAAAAAGCTGCTGTTTCTACCAAATAAAGTGTGAAAAATCATAATACTAGAGTGCGGTAACCTAAGGATTTGGCTTCAGAAGTGAGAGGGAAATAAGTCCGATGTTAAAGGCTGACTCAGTTCAGCCTAAACAACTTTAAATCAACCTCAAAATAGTAAACTGTTTTAAAGTGATTCATTTTAGTGAGCATGAATAATTGTTTCAAAATAAAAGGAGAAACTCCACCCATTAAGTGAAGAAATCACCATGAGGGATGCCTTATCAAAATTTCCCAGACATGAAAGCAGAAGCATAAGGAGCAAACTCAGCTAATCAAAATTGACAAAGAAAGTGATACCAAAGATTTGGTACATGAAGTCATTTATATATGTCTCTCTTTATTCTATATATTTAAGATAGTAGAAAGCCGTGCTCTCATAGAAGAAGACAGAACACATAAAAATAAATCAAATTTCTGGAAATGAGTCTAGAAAGAGAGAAAACAATTGGATAAGAACAATAACAGAGGAATCGATTCTTAACCTGAAAACACGGCTCTTAAAATATTGAAAATGAAACTCAGATGGGGAAGAGGCACAAGTGAGCCAACTGTAATTGTAATTGATCTATTTGTAGTTATAGTCAATAAAAAAACAGGCTAGAGGGAGAATATATGAAGGAATAATAGCTAATTTCTTAAATTATAAACTTAATTTTCTAAAATATCTGATATTTATCAAACACTCCACCAAACAGCAAAAGACCATCCATTTCTTTCAATTGTATGTGAACAGTTTCCAAAGTGGACTATTTGGGATTACCAAAAAATTCTGGGTAAATTCAGAAGGACTCTAATCATATCAGGCATTCTCACCAGCCAAAAAGAATCAAATTGAAAGTCAATAGGAGAAAAAGCTCAGTGAGTTTGATTTATTTCACTTAGAAGTATGGTCTCAAGCTGTGCCCATTCATTTATAAATATCTCAATGTGGGGGCAGTCGTGAGTTCAATCCCTGGGACCGATAAAAAGGAAAAAGACAGCAAAATAAAACAAAAATATCTCAATGTGATCCTTCTTTATAGCTGAGTAGTACTCCATTATATAAAAATACCACAGCTTTTTTATCCATTCCTCAGTTGATGGACGCTTGGGTTGTTTCCAAGATCTGGCGGAAGAAGATATTGTTAATAATGTGTCAGGATTTAAAATCCACATTACTCACACCACTCTGCTTAGATACATTTTATTCATTGTTTTGATAGATTTTATTCTGTCCCCATTTGTCTACTTGCATTAGATTTGAGGGCACAGACAGCTATCCCCAAAACATCAGGATATAGCACAGTAATCATCTTTAATTTCCTATTATCTTAATCTGGATCCCAGTATGGTTTATACTGTTTTATCAAGACTGATCTTAGTTAAATCTGGTTTGTTTGATTGCTGTTTGGTATCGACAGATTTTATTCAAAACTGATATGATTGATAATATCAAGTCTGAGGGTATAGGCAACTACAGTGAAGATGACAACTCTACAATACACATTCTGGTTTGATAACTGCCTGCTTTTTAAGTTTTATACTGTATACAAAGTTCTGTTTTAGTTAATACTGTTATGTACTGGTATATTCACTTATACTATGTCTGATGATATAGCCAATTCTATTGAAGATAACAAGAGACAACACAGGAACTATGGTAGAACTCCTTGTACAATGGTCTTATATATCTTTTTTGTTTCAAGTGTTTATAGGAATATGTTTTGTTTTGTCTTGCTTTGTTTTGTTTCTCTAATATATGAAGGATAGAAATACATGTTAAGACTCATGCATGCGTAGAATCTATAAACAGTTTATGAGAATGATCTTATTTATGACACATGATGAAATGAACAGATACTTTGAAGAAAAAGAGACACTAAAGTACCCAGTGCTAATCCTAGAGTGTCATAATGTGAAACCCAGAAATAGTATTATTCTTTGTTCAGAGTGATACTAGCCTGCTTGGAAGTTTGTTCAATCTCAACATAATTGAAGATACAGATAACTGCATGTATGCTTAAGTGTATAGGATTGATAACCATATTACTAAGTTTTTTTGGATAGTTGAACAGAACTGTTTGCAGTCTCACTGTTTGAATCCCCACTTTATATGCTCTACTTTGGTATCTTGAATAACTATTTTAAGGGAACAGTCTGTAATCATCAACTAGTGATTTCTTACTGTTTATTTTTTCTTTGAAAGTATGTATTATTTCTACCTGTTTTCTGTTTTGTTTAATCTTTCATAAAATAAAAAAATAAATTTGTAGGTCAATTTGAGGAGTAGTATTATTTTAGCCATCTTCTCATGTATGGATTTGGGATGTCTTTCCTCTTACAGTTTTCAGAATATGTGCTTTATACTTCTTTGGTTATAGTTATTCCCAATTATTTTTTATAAAGTCATCACTTCTGGTTTCCTATTAATTTCTTTATTCCTACATCTTCATTCTCTTCCCTTTATAGTTTAAAAACATGTTCAAGAATTTCATCTCACAAGCACAGTAATATGGTTTAGGTATAAAATGTCCTCCCAAATCTCATGTGTTTGGAATATTATTGGATCATAAGGGTGCTATATCCATCAGTGGATTCATCCGTTGATGAGTTCAGTAGCTGAATGTGTTTTTAGGAGGTGGGGCCTGGTTAGAAGAGGTGAGTCACTGGGGGTGTGATCTGAAAAGGTGCATTCTTGTTCCAAGCTCTTGCCTTTTTCTATTGCTTTCTGGATTCCATGATGTGGGCACCTATCTTCCATGAGGGTCTTCTACCATATTTGTACTTTGGAATCAGAAAGCTATGTACTTAATCCTCTGAAAACCATGGGCCACAATAAACCTCTGCTTTAAGTTATGGATGTGAGATATTTTATTCTAGCAATAGCAAGAGGGCTAAGTTACTTTCCACTGGACCACAATACTAGACACTTGCAATTTAAAGGAGCAGAGGATTATTTTGGCTCAAAATTAAGTTTCAGTCCTTGCATGATCAGCCTTCTTCAAGGCACAAATGGCAAACTGGAAGGGCATAGTGCAAGGATGCTTATGTCATGGTGATCAGGAAGCAGAGAGTCAGGAAGGAGACAGGGAGGGAGGGAGACAGACCTTTCAAGGCATACTTCCAGTGACCAGGCCCCATCTCTTAATACCAAGTTAGTCTTACAGCCCCCGTGGGGCCAATCACTGTCCAAAAGCTCTCATATGAATATATGAGGCTCTTAGGAGACAAACCGTAGATCCAAACCATAACATTCCACTCCTGGCCCCCAAAAGACTCATGCACATCTCTGTAACAATATACATATAGTTCTTCTCTATAAGTTACCAAAGTTTTACATTTTATTGATGCTGAAAAGTCAAAGTCTAAAGTCTCCCCTCAACTCAAGGCAAACTGAGCTGTGAGCCCCTGTAAATATCAATAAAATTTTTAAGCACTTCTGACATAAAATAGCACAGCATAAACATTCTCATTCCAAAAGGGAGGAATAGGGAGATAGAAACCAATGTCACCAAAGCAAGACTGAAACTCATGAGGCAGACATTAATTCCTATAACATGTCTAGCACCTAGTGCAAAGATGTGAACCCCAAAGAGCTTGGGTGTCCCTGCTCCTATGGCTTTGAAGGTTATATCCCTCCTGGCTCCCATCTTGGATTGACTTTGCTCCCTCTGCAAATTTCCTCAGACGTTCCATATATGGGGGCTTCTCTAACTTTCTGCACTGTGGCCTCACATTGATGTCTACATGGAAGTCTCCCTGACACTGCAACTCTTACATTCTACATTCCTATAAA